ATCGTGATAAATATTTTTGGCCATATCGCCCTGCTCTAGTCCTGCCACATCACTGTGACGGCCTCACAGTGAAGCTCATGGAACTCATGGAAGCTCATCGAACTTCTTCCAGCGTTGTTTTGCAGCTTGTGACTTTTTCTGCTTCCTTGGCATTTTCACACACTTGCAAGTGTTTCTTAGTCTTTAGAAAATATGTTCACAAGATAAGAGTGGCACACACCAGGAGATGTTGTCTTTGTTTTTATTTGTCTGAAACAGTTGTCTTTCGTTTGACAGTTTGTTCTTCAGTTGAGAGAATATTATGCACTCTCTTTATAGGCTTGGCACAACTTAGCAGCAAGCCCAGAATGAAAAACAAGTAGAGAGAAAATTTAGAAGAGAGAACAGACAGAGCAGGAGAGAAACGGCTTTAAATCAAACCGCAATAAGATTCTTAGTTTGGCACAATTTCGCACAAACCACAGGGTGAAATACAGATGGAAAGAAGGCAGAGAGAACATGTGGAGAAGGACAGAGGATAGAGGGGTTGGGATGTGAGAGAGAAGACTGGAAATCTGGTCCTTGTTCTTCTTCTGCACACTGTGAACAAAAAAGAAGAAAAAAATAATAATTGTATTAAAATGAAATCACATGGTAATTGTTTGAACTAATTGTGACTACTAAAACAAATATTCAAGCTAAACTGTTGTTGGCTGCCATGTGCAAAAAGTTGCATAATTGGGCACTTTTTAAAAGAATAAATATTTAATTAAATTCAGCAATAATATTTTTAAATACAAATATGATTAACTAATCACATGTAGTGTGACTACAAAAATGTACGAAAAAAATATTTTAGCCCAATTATTAAGCTGCACTTATGTGTATTTATTATAAAATTGTGTTTAAAATGTTTAGCACAAAGTTTGAACCCATCAAAGCTTATATTAGTCAGATTATTTTTTTATTTTGGTCTACTTCTCTTACAGTATGTGCACACCTACCAGGCAAAGCACAGGTGTCAGTCAAGTTCCTGAAAGTGTAAGACGAGAAATTATATGTTAGTTGTCTGTACAGTGTTATCAGACTAACAGAAATACAAAGCCCACACGACATGATACACTGAACTCATAGTCAGCAGGTTATAGAATAATACAGCACACCAAATAAAAGAATAAAAAATAAAAATAGAATAAAACAGACACAGCAGCAATTTTATAATTTAAACTAATTACCTGAAGTATTTCCACTTATGTAAGGCTACTGTTAGACTGTTACTAGCCTTAGCATTGCTGCTAGCGCTAGCATTCCGGCTAGCATTAGCACTTCAGTTAGTGTTAGCGATGCAGCTAGCGTTAGCATTGCAGCTAGCATTAGCAATGCTGCTAGCGCTTGCACTCTTATTACTGTTAAAACTGAGCCACAATGGCAATAATAAAGCTCATTTCTTACTTTTGTCTCACTGACCGCCAAGAAATATCACAGGAATATTCTTTTTGTCAGTTAACAACTGCTAAGGCTAGTGTTAGCACTATAGCTAGCGTTAGCATTGTTGCTAGCATTGGCATTGAAGCTAGCGTTAGCACTGCTGGTAACAGCAAAACATCATAAACGTATATAAATGATAGCAAAGGTTATTCTTCTGATTAATTAGTGTGAATGTTTTTCAAGCATTCACACTAATTAGTCAGCCAGTTTACTGTCCACATTCTTGAAGTTTTTCATATCCCTCTTCCGGGGCTGTTTCACAGCTGCCGGTCTTCCTTTCTGAGTTTTTCCCACCCGAGCGGTTGTCTTAAGATTGTCCCAGAAAGCATTACACATTAGAAAGGTAGCTTCAAATGGCATGTGCCTGCACTATTAAATAACCAAAAAAAACCACAAACCTTTGCATCAGTTAGTCTTAATGAAGGTCTTACAGGACTGGAGGGTCTGATGGTGGTGGAAACACCTGCGGGTTGACTTTTAGGAGCTGACTTTGGCTGTGGAAGAGCATGACGTGATGTCCCTTGGGGGTCATTTCTCCTTTTAGAGGCTAGTGTCGTCTCTAAAAGGGTAAGCCTGTCTTTTGCCATGGTGAGGTTGGTGACCATTTTATCCTGAAGTCTCTTTGCTCGGTCATACTGCTCTCTATGCCAAGTGAGCTCTATTGCAATACCCCTTTCAAGCTCAGAAATCCCTTTCTTGTACCACTGCACAACCTCCTTCGTCTCACCTGTGTCTTCCTCGTCGATCTTCAGTGCCTTGGATATATACTCAAACGCGTGCTTGTGGATGTTTTTTATAACTTCAGCGCTGTCTTTGGGCTTACTTGCGTTTGTTTTGGTCGACATTACTCTCGCGCTACTTCTCCCCTGTTCTCAGTCATAACACGGTAAGCTAGTCATAAACGAAAACATTTAGGCTTTAAATCGCATTTAAAGGTGATGCAGTCCTCTTTCTTTGGGACAAAACACAACGCTTTAGCTTCATAGAATAAAAATTCTGGCGCTTCGTGACAACAGGGTTAGGGTAGGGTAGGGTTAGGGGGTTACGGTTAAGGGTTAGGATTAGGGGGTTATCCGGTTGTTCAGTGATGACGCGACGAATCCTACTTCCGGGTCTAAAGTAGTCTGCGTTTAATATGGCTTTTGTGTTGTTAACATGTTTAATGTTATGTATTTTCTTCTATTTGATCTCAAAAAGCTCCTAAAACAGTCAGTGATCCCTGTTGACCTCCCTCGGCTTTTATTACCGCTAATCATTTATTTAAGCTCAGTTTTTAAAACCTTAGGATGTAACTACAGCCCAGCCCATGCAGCAGTATATGAATGACTAACCTCGTATTGTGGATGGATTATCTCAGTTGTTCTCCTGGCTGAAGTTTGGTCCTTTTACAGCATCCTGCCATGCGATTACATTTGTTTCTGACCACCGAGAACACTCACGTTGTAGACACGGGTTCCTGAGGACGCAGGAAGTGAGGAGAGGAGGGTTACAATGCGAAACTCGGCACAGGGAGGAATTTTGTAGGGGAAGGGGGAAAAGATGCTATAGGTTTATGCTAAGTCCACATGTACACGGGTATTTTTGAAAATGCAGCTTTTTCTGTGCAATCTGCTCCCAAGGTGGAGATTTTAGAAAACTCAGTTTTTCCATTTACGTCTGGATGAGGAAAATTGAGATTTAGTCACGCAACGTCAAAGGTGTGCATCATTTTTGATGTCACGCTGTGCACTTTTCAAAAATACCCGTGTACATGTGGATGTAGCCTTAGAATGACTGGTTACCTTGAAACTCGCTGTACATGCCTTCTTTAAGCAACGCCCCATACCCAAAGTCTACGATTTTGATGTCCATTGTCATGGTGTTTACCACTATGTTCTCGTCTTTGATGTCCATGTGCACGATGCCGTGGGAGTGAATGAATAGAAGCGCCTCAACCACCTGATGGAAAATCCTATTGGGAAGAACAAAGAACCAGAATGTTAACAGACATCTAAACGACTGCAGCAGAATGCATTAACCTCCTTTCAACCTCCTTCAAAGGTGGTGGGCAGGAGCGCAAACCTGAGTGAGAGGCTTTCTGACAGAGCTCCTCTCTCCGTGATCAAGTCAAACAAATCCTGACAGTGTAGAGGCCTCTCCATCACCAGCAGGAAGCCCCGCCCCTCCACCTCGAACCAGTCCAGCATGTGGATGACCCCAGGGTGCCCCCCGTCCTCTGACAGCAGCTGCAGCGCTGCAATCTGCATGGGAACGTGATTGATCTCATCTGACTGACGTAACAAAGAAGAAGATTAAGCTGTGTGCATGCAGGAGTGGTGGGTAGGAGGACCCAAAGTGCAGACTCACGTGAGCAAAATAGTGCAGTCAAAACAGCTTTATTGCTGAAACATAAAATAACTAAACTGAAGGTACCAAAAAAACTGAACTGGCAGGCTGGCAGGAAGACAGAACACACAGCATAGTAGATGGTATATCATGACCCAGACAAAGGAAAACACAGGGCTTAAGTACACAGAGGGAGCAATCAGTGAATGAGAGACAGAAGGGAAACACAGCTGGGGAAAATCAGGGCTGACGGGACAGAGGAACCAAAACCAGACACATTAACATGAGATACAAACTTTCAAAGTAAAACAGGAAACACAGGCTGAACTTACAGACAGTAAGTTCAGACACTGCAACAGAGGGAACATGGAAACCCAAACATAAGAACTACAAAATCACAAACCAAGAAGAACCGTGGAAAATAGAAATGCAATACAGAAACCAAAACCTTCACAGTAATAAACCAAGAGAACACAAAGAAAGGTACAAAACTGAAAACGCTGAGTCAACGACCCAGGTACCCTAACTGTTACAAATTTCTCAACCACTGCACACCACAGCTGCAGCTCCCCTGAGCCACCAGCAGAAGACGGAGCTAAACAATCGTAGCTTTGTTTCACATGTGTCACTCAAAACACCCTGTGCATTTTTGTACACATTTAGTTTATTTATTTATTTTAAGTATCACTCACCAGTGTTGTCCACTTGTCAGTTGTAATTTAATGGCAACCTGGATGGTTAAAAAAAGAGTAAAATATTTTAAAACAATAAAATAATAAAATAAACTTCTTGAACTGTAATAATAATAATAATGATAATGGAGAGAAAGTGCACATTTTTTTAAATGAATAAATACAGGTGTGTATTTTCTTTTACATGTAGTCCATCAGAGAGCCTCTGTCCTGAAAACACGGAGCCAAAACCTCCACTGCCAAGCAGAGGACCGCAGTGATACTGACTGAGGAAGTGCTCGCTCACATCAGTGCACTGCTCACACTTAAGAGATCAAACATTACCCAACAACAACAGAAACCCAAAGAAACTCAAAAACACCACACGGTTTACGGTGTGTTCCTCCCTATTATCTCGATGCAGTCCATAGGCGTTTCTCAATATGCGGACTTGTGATACATCATCAGTCACAGACCAAGTACTGTTCCAATTCAAAGGACACATCGAAGTCAAGTAGCTCAAAATGTTCTCGCTACTCCCATTTTATCGAGCATTCATCATCTGTGACTTTTGTGGATGGAGATAACATCTAAATGTTATGTTTATTTCAGTGTTTTATTTGTTCCTAAGCAAATCGATTTGGCTGAGATTAAAGTTCCACTTCATAACCGGGCCGTTTTATTTAATACTGAAGTCTTACTTGGAGAGCTGTCAGTATATTTTGAATTTCACCCACCATATCTGCTGATATAAAATGCTGTGTTGTTATTTAAACAGCTCACTCTGAATTAGCATCACTACCTGAGACTTCAGCTGAGACTGAAGAAGTCACTTGGATGAGTGATGAAACATTTCGCTCACAGAAAATACCACATCCAGATGAACAGAATCTACTTTCTAGGAATCGCTTTATGTCAGTGACTATACCCATACATTACATTTTTCCTGGCCAAAATATATTTCAAATATGTGGTAAATATATGTTGTATTTGTGATGCTCAAAAAATATATTTTTGAAATTGAAAATATATTTGTTTCAAACCAAAATACATTTCAAAATATATTTTAGGGTGAAGAAAATACATTTCCAACCTTACAGTAGAATGTATATCAAAGTATCCTTTATTTAAAATGTATTTAGTGCAATGATGATGATAATAATAATACCAAAATTGATTGTTTTTAATGTACTCTTAATTTGATCTGTTATTGTATATTTTACACATGTTTGTATGGGATATTGTATTTGTTTTAAATGTTATATACCTATGTGGTATGTGACTTTTGTTGCTATGATGCCAGGTCTCTCTTGTAAATGAGATTTTTAATCTCAATGAGATTTTTTACCTGGATAAATAAAGGACTAATAATAATAAAAGTAACAACATGTTTTATTTACATCTGCAAAAAACAGTTGGATTCAAACAAAACAGAGTCAAAGGTTTAGCAAGAATGAGGTTGTTTATTCATTTGCTTACAGTATTTCACATTACACAATATCTCACTATAATGTAGCGTTCACTTGACTTTGAAATTATCTGTCAGTGATACAGTAAACAAGATACAACAACTGCTATGTACACTTTAGTTTTTGACAAAATACAGGGAGTGCAGAATTATTAGGCAAATGAGTATTTT